TGATAACAACCTTGCAGAACCTGTGTGTGTGTTTGTAGGAATGAATGTGTGAATAAATATGAGATTGAATGGAATGTTATAGCTATAACTAACTGCTTACTATGATTCTTTCTGTATTCACAATAAATGTGGTATTTTGCCTTTTCCTCTTTAATAAGACCCTGCTGGTTTTTAATTTATTGCTGGTTTTTAATTTATTGGTATAACAAACATATGCCTAAATTATTAAAGTACAGGCCTTTATAGACAGGCCTGAATATCTATATCCTAACACTCCACCCCCTTTTTTTTCCTTTTGGGATCCTCCTGCCCAGGTACCCCTGGAAAAGCATAGGACATATGGTGACACACTTCCTGATAGGGCCAGGCATCAAGGTGTCAATATTCCATCTGTCCCACTGCCCCTTGTGTAGTTCCATACCCTGCACCTTCTCTCGTACGGGCATACTACACCTATTCCAATTAGTGTTCCAGACTTTCCAGTATAGTAGGCCTGAGAAGGTTGGGTCCGGGTTGTCTAGTACTCTGAGGGGGAGGGCTTACTACACTACTTATAGGTTATCATTAGTGGCTGTTCTCTAGGGGATTATGCCCCCCTTGGTTGTTTCCATATGCAACATAACACAAATACTGTTAACAATTCACCAGCTGCTATGATAATCCACAGGAACACAGAAAGTCCTGACCACTGCAGTATGGTCCAACATCCTGGCCACCACCAAAAACACTGCTTCTCCTCCCTTGAGAGGGTTAAAATTTTGTCAGCACCAGCCTGTAGTGTGTATTGTAAGTGTGTCCAACTGTTGGTGCTTGCAGGAAGTTGCTCTTGTAATCTTTGTGTACTTTTGTCCATATTGTGTGTCCATTGAATATCCACAGTGAAATTTGGTATTGTCCAAACCAATTCAACTACTTGGTACGACATGGGGTAGTAGGTGCTAGTTCGATTGTTTACAATGATTAAGTCCACTGATCCACTGGTGCACCATAGTCCAGGTGGCAGTGTATAGAAGTTCATAATTTGGTCACAGAGTGGAAGGATTTTGTCTCCTAGTGTTATATTGCAGGATTGCATCCATTCCCAACAGAATACACTGTACCCCATATACATTACCCCTAAATGCCCCCCTTTGCAATAGGCCATTGATCCTGCTCCTCCATAGTCATAGGAGAGGGGCACATCCATATTCCTCCTCTGGATATACAACTGCTTAATGTGATGACAGTCCAATTTACCCCATTCCACCCCCCCACACCTATTTCCTTGTGGCTCCCAACGCGCTCCCCCTTCCCTAGTTACTCCCATAGGGTACAAGGGGACCACCTTATTTGCATTTCCTTCCCAGGGTATCATAGTAACAATTACACAAGAACTGTTCCCACAGGTTGGGGATGTTATTTCCAATTATGGGCTAGCCTCCCAATTTAGTACTGAAGGCCATTGTTCTGACCAAGCATCTCTCATAATATCCATTAACATTATTAACTGAGCATTCTGAATACCTACACACACTTCTCCCCATGTTACTCTTCTGAAGCCAACCTCCACCCATATCACCAGGTCCCCTACCCAATGAGTTAACTGCAAGTCTACCTCTAAGGTGCCACAAGTCCTTCTGTTCTTTTTGCGGATACAGACTAATACGGCTGCTACTCTGAAATCTACCTCTCTGCTATCCTCCACCCTGTGGCAGCTGCTGTGCCATTAATTCATTAATTTGTTGTTGAAATCTCACATGTTGGCTTACTAATTGCTTGGTTACCCATTCGTCACATAGATTCCATGTGCCCAGCATAATGTTCCCAGCTGCCCACAATCCCCTTTTCCAACGATGATTCCAGGTGTGTCCCCTCACCCACCAATTGAATTGTTGTTTCAATCCTTTGATGTACATACTACAATTAGGATGAATTTGATCCACCCACCATGCCTTGGGGCATCCCACCCCTGGAATAGAGTGAAAGGACAAGTTAAACAGTGCTGGCTGCACCCACTCCCACAATGGCTCCCACACATTTGCTCGTCAGGGAATATTCTCGGCTCCAGGCTGTGGCCACTTTAAATTTGCATTCTTCCAACTTGGCATCCATATCAACTGTAGGGTTACATTCTGTAAAATAGTTAACTCATCATACCCCCAGCATCACAAAGGGGATTTTACGCCCAATGTAATATGTAACAATCACACCCTCTGGATTATCTTCCATGGAAGTACCATTGGGGTTACATATGGTAACATCACACCCTAAATGTGGGGCCCTATTTTCCCAAGAGGGTTCATTTGCTCCAGGAGACCAGAGGGTTATATTCTTTGGACCCTCTGTAACAAACCACCATAGCTGGGTAACTGTGTTTTCCACTATCATTAATCATGGCAGCACCCAGGGAGTACCATGCAATATTTCCTGATTAATTTGATATTCTCCTCCGGGTTGGGATTCCCCCATCTAATCCATAAACCATATACCAACACTGCCAAATTCCTGTTGGAGTATTAGTGGTACATCTTTCTATGGGGAGATTCTCATAGTCTTCATTAGCTTTATTACCACAGGTTGCATGTGTAGCCATCCATGTGTTTCCTCCTTTTGACACTTCACATTGTGGGATCTGAATAGAATTTGTAAATGTGACAATTGTGATTAGCACTAGGAATTGTTCCATCCAGAGCCAGGGGATTTTCATCCTTTTCTCCTTTTTGAATTAACCTGTAATATACACATAACAAAATTTACACGTCCCCTTTCCCAATCCCCTGTTTGTACCTTTTTATTTGCGTGCAGTGAGCCCACTCTCACCTTCCATTCTCTGTACCCAATAGTAGCAGACTGGGGCCGAATTGGTCAAGGTCAAGATAGGGGCCCTTCCATTTAGGAGCTGGGAATGGATGGTGTTGACCTGGAATCTTGTACATCACTAGATCTCTCACCGTGAGTAGATCACGCTCCTTGGGAAGGTCATACCATGTTTTGACTCTTGCTGCTCCTTGTTTGTCTCGCCAGGCCACTGCCTGCTGTACCTATTTTACATGGTCGATTAGAGTTAAAATCCATTCTTGTGTTAAACCGTGTGTAGTGACTTCCCCAGGTGCTGGGGTAAGTAGATTTTCCCACCATTCCATGAGCCTTCCCATGAGAGCCTCATATGGAGAAAATCCTGTGCCCTTTGATTCTCAGGCCCTTATTCTCATTAAGACAAAGGGCAGTAACTGTGACCAGTTTTTTCCTCCCATTTCCACTCCCTTTCTTAGCTCACTTTTAATGGTGCGGTTCATGCGTTCCTCCTGCCCCGCAGCCTGGGGGTGATAAGCAATATGGAACAATTGTGTGATTCCAGTGAGGGCTGATAGCTCCCCTAACAGATCGGACTGGAAAGCAGCTCCTTGGTCTGAGTCAATCACCTTTGGGACCCCCCAGCGAGTGAATACCTCGGGGATTGGTCCTGTTTGAGCAGGGGGTTGGACTAGATGACCTCCTGAGGTCCCTTCCAACCCTGGAATTCTATGATTCTATGAATACCTCTTTTATCAGTATTTCAGCAGTTACCCAGGCAGTTTGATACTTTGTGGGGAAAGCTTCCACCCAGCTGCTGAAAGCATCCACTACCACCAACATGAATTGATTTTTCCTTTGATCTGGTGGTAGGGGTCCTGTGTAGTCACTTTGTATTCTTTCCCATGGTCCCCTTGGGGCTTGTCTCATTAATTCTCCCCTTAGCACCTTGTGAGGTGGTGGGTTGTGCCTGGCACAGTCCAAACAACGTTCCAGATGTGATTTTTAATCAGCTGCCTTTCCTGGCCTCCAGCACAACCTTTTTAAAGTTCCCAGTGCCTCCTCAAACCCGGGGTGTCCCCCTGCCAAGCTCCCATGCACCCAGCTTAAGAAAGCCATCCGGCTTCCTTGAGGGCACAGCATGACTGGTCCATCAGACCAAATCCTTTCCATTAGTTCCATCTTTGGCACATGCCAGTCCCCAAGTTTCATGATGCCTTCCAGTCCTGGGTCAGATTCTTGCAACTCTTGAATTCGCCCTCCCCGATTTGTACCCACCCCACTTCTTGTTATCACTGCTACAGGCACACTCTCTTCTGGCTCCCAGGGCCATGGGGGTGCCTCTGTTGCAGCCCGCTTGGCCTCTACATCGGCCAGATTATTGCCTTTGCTTAGGGGTCCTGTTTTCTTGTGTGCCTTTACCTTTACCACACTGATCCGCGTAAAACAGTGACTGAGCGCCTCCACTCGCTTCCACCAGGTAGCATGCTTGATTGTGGAGCCGTCTGTTGCCCTGAAATGATTATCTGCCCACCATCTCAGCATTAATGTGACCCCACAAAATACTTAATATGAATCTACCACCACCCAGCATTCTGCCTCAAATTTGGGATCCGCTTTTGTCAAGGTTCCTTCCCCACTCTTAACTCTAGGGTACAGATGTGGGGACCTGCATGAAAGACCCCCTAAGCTTATTCTTACCAGCTTAGGTTAAACGCTGCCACCACCAAAGTGTTACACAAAGAACAGGGAAAGAGCCCACTTGGAAATGTCTCCCCCCCAAAAAAATATCCCCCCAAGCACTACACCCACTTTCCTGGGGAAGGCTTGATAAAAATCCTCACCACTTTGCATAGGTGACCACATATCCAAACCCTTGTGTCAAGGTTCCTTCCCCACTCTGAACTCTAGGGTACAGATGTGGGGACCTGCATGAAAACCTCCTAAGCTTACTTTTACCAGCTTAGGTTAAAACTTCCCCAAGATACACATTATTTTACCCTTTGCCCTTGGATTTCCACTGCCACCACCAAACTTTATCTGGGTTCCTGAAAAAACAGAGTTTGGAAACGTCTTTCCCCCCAAAATCCCCCCAACCCTTGCACCCCAGTGTCCTGAGGAAGGTTTGGTAAAAATCCTCACCAATTTGCATAGGTGACCACAGACCCAAACCCTTGGATCTTAGGGCAATGAAAAAGCAATCAGGTTCTTAAAAGAGAATTTTAATTAAAGAAAAAGTGAAAGAATCACCTCTGTAAAATCAGGATGGTAAATACCTTACAGGGTAATTAGATTCAGAACATAGAGAATCCCTCTAGGCAAAACCTTAAGTTACAAAAAGACACAAAAACAGGAATATACATTCCATTCAGCACAGCTTATTTTATCAGCCATTTAAATAAAACAGAATCTAACGCATATCTCACTAGATTACTTACTGACTCTTTACAGGAGTTCTGATCTGCATTCCTGCCCTGGTCCCGGCTAAAGCATCACACAGACAGAGAGAACCCTTTGTTTCCCCCCCACCCCCTCCAGCTTTGAAAGTATCTTGTCTCCTCATTGGTCATTTTAATCAGGTGCCAGCGAGGTTATCTTAGCTTCTTAACCCTTTACAGGTGAAAGGGTTTTTCCTCTGGCCAGGAGGGATTTAAAGCTGTTTATCCTTCCCTTTATATTTATGACGGCTTCATTTAAAGCTGTTAGCAAGGCTGCCTCCTGAGCTGACCTTGCTTCTAGTGAGAAACCAATGGTGCTGGCTGTCTCATTGCCTCTGATTCCCACAACAGCTAAGACTGCAGTTTTCCGTCCCCCCTGATACCTACAACTTCCATCCAAAAACCATACCAGTGTCCCCTCCTTTACCTGATTGGGGTTAGCTGCCCGAAACGCCAGAAGTTGGGTTTTATCTGGATTTGCTTCACAGTGGTGTGGGGTGCCAGCCAGATGTAATCTGGCTACCCAGAAAATGGGTTCCTTTAACACTTCTGCTTTAATGTTTTCTGTTTGTAGAGCCAGCAACCATTTGGCAATACACTGCCCACTCACTGGTCCCTGTAAGATAGTATGCATGTTTAATAGCCACAGGGGTCATGATGAGATCAGACTATTACTTTCTGCATTCCCGTAAGGTATTTGAATTTCCCTATCCCCCCAGTAGGTGCACAAGAACACCTTTTCACACCATCTATATTTCAGTTCCACAACACTCAAAAGTCGAGAGGCAAAGGCCACAGGTCTGTCCTTTGCTCCATACTCCTGTGTTAATGCACAACCAACGGTAGTGTCCGATACCAAAGGGTACAGATAAAAGAGTTTCTCCCCATCCGGGGAGGCCAGCACTGGAGCACTGGCCAGGTTTTCCTTTAGCACTCTCACTGCCTCAGTACACTCTTCTGACCACTCCCAAGTTGAGGCTCGGGTTAGGTCAAATAGATGCTGGGCTATTTCTGCATAACTGGCCACAAAATCCTTGCAAAATCCAGTTAGACCCAGAAAACTTTGCAAGCTTTTAACATCCGTAGGGAGTGGCAGGGACTGGGTCAGTTGCACTCAACCCTTATCAATTTCCCTTCCTATCTGGGACACTTCCACTCCTAAGTAGGTCACTCTTGTCTGTCCCATCTGAGCCTTTTCCCCATTGACCTTCAACCCGGCTCTTGCCAAAGCTTGCAGGACTTGTCTTGTTTCCTGTCTTCTTCCTCTGTCCCTGACATTAGCAACAGGTCGTCTACATATTGTATGCACCTTGCTGAATCCACCCCCTCCAGAGCCTGTCTCATGTATCTGTGAAAAATTGCAGGGGAGTCCCAATATCCCTGGGGTAGGACTGTCCAGCAGAATTGTCTGCCCTCCCATGTGAATGCAGTTTTATACTGACACGAGGTAGCTAGTGGCAGAGACCAAAACCCATTCGCTATGTCCAAAACTGAAAATTCAAAATTGGGGTCCCATACGGGCTACATTTCAGGGTACGCTGCCACACTGAGGCTGGCGAATTGGCCAGAGCATCTAGTGCCCTGTAAGCCACAGTGAGGCACCAGGTACCGTTTGGCTTCCTCACGGGCCACACAGCAGCATTACAAGGGGATGCAACTGCTCTGATCAGTCCCCTCTGATCCAATTCCTCAATCGTTGCCCCCACCTCTGCCTACGCCTCCCGAGGAATAGGGTACTGTTTCTGTGGGGGAGGGTCCCCTCCCTCCAGCAGTACCTCCATGCGGCCCCTACCACAATCCAGGTTATCCTTCGCCCACACAGGGATGTGTTCCCGCCCTGCCGGGGATGGTGGGAGGGCATATGAGGCTTTAATGGTCATAGTGGCTATCCCCATGGGAATGGTATAGCCCTGACCATCCTGCATCTGCCCCAGTAAACACACCCAATTGGCTAAATCCAGTACAAGTCCCAGTTTGTGTAAATCTCCTGCCCCCAACAGATTAAGCATATCATTACAACCCCACATTATCTCCCCTTCCCTCCAGATTCCTTTATCTGTCCCTGCCTCAGGGTTAACTGTGTCTCCCCTCCCGTTGCCCCTACAATTGTCACAGTCCCTTCTGAGGGTCTCCCCTGCCCCCATGTGATGAAGCTGATGGCTGCTCCAGTGTCTATCAAAAAATCCCTCATGAGACTCCCTTCAATCGCCCCCTGGAGCATGGGGTGACCAGATGCATCCCATCCTAAACTGAGAACATGGACAGGAGGCCTCCCAGGGCACCCCTAAGTCGCAGCTCCCACCTCTGTCTCTCCCACTGTTTCACAGGGGGGCCAGGGGTCCTGGCACCGAAGACATTCCTGTCTTCAAGCAAAATTGTGTGCCTGGCATTTCTGGCAGTCCCTCCCCTGGCCTCCAGGGCCACTTTCCCCCGATCTGGTAAGATCCTGGGTAGTCAGCTTAGCCTGCAGTCTCTGGATCTGTGGCTCTATAGCTGCCTGCTCGTCCCCAATTACCACGCCCCCCAAAGCCACCACCTCTCCCTGTACATCCTCTCCTCTGGGCTGACCCACCCCTTTCCACCTTGTGCTGATCCCCTGCAGTAACACATGGACTGGCTCTGCCCCCGATACATCTGCCTGTTCCAGAAATTGGGGTAGCTGATTGGGAGCAAGTTCAGGGTGCTGCAACCTTAAATGCCCCACGAACTGTGGATCGCTCAGCTCCAAACATTTATCCAGCAATCTCACACCCCCACCAGGTCCCAGCGTCCCTGCCTGGGGCATCACCCATGGACTGTCCAGGGGATCCATGCAGCACTGTGCCCATGCCTGTATGTGATTCAGTGTATCCCGCCCTGTTTCCCCAGAGATTTGCTTCACCTTATTCATCCCCGCAGTACGAGAGTACACCCCAAACAACTGTTTTGTCACCTGTCTGAGGATTAGAAATGGGTGTGCCACTCCTGCCAGTCCTGGTCCTCACGAGTTAGACCCTTCTTCTCCCTGCCCACCTCCACTAGCCACAGCACAAACTGATCTCAATCATCCCAGGGTACCTTTCCCAAACGGCCCAGTACTGCCTCCCGGTCCTCCAGGGACCAGGGCCAGATTTCTGCCTGTTCTACTTGTGGGGCATGGTCCCCCACCCCGCAACCAGGACCTCTGTTCCTATCTCCTGCAGTTCCTCCTGTGTAGCCTCTCTCGTAGGGACTGTAACTGTGGATTGCTGGCTTACAATGTCCACTGGCAGTGGTGGATGCAGTATTTTTTCAGGGTAGGATGGCAGAGGTGTCTCCTTCAGTTCCATTTGTGGGGTGGATGGTTTGGGGTCCCCAAGTCCATTGCCCCCAGGTTTACATTGATACAATTCCTCCTCTAAGTCTCCTACTCTTCTCAGCAGTTCATCCCTCTCTCGCCGGATTGCCTCACAAGACTCCTCTGTCCGTGCAGCATCTCGTGCCTTCAAATCAGCTCTCTCTACCACTAACATGGATTTTTCTGTTAAAATCCATTGCTAATCCACAATAACCTCCAAATCCTTAATGTGTTGGAGGAGATCGGCTTCCCCTTTTACCCAGTATGCCATCCCAGCACACAAACCTTGTAATACCATTCCCTATTTCCTACACTCCTTTCCCTTGGGGTCTCCCAAAACCTCCCCTATCTCCTTTTCAAACTCATCCCAGCTGTACCCCTGCACCTGGTATGGGCCCTGATTGTTCCTTATCCATTTGTTCAAAAAATCCATTACCCCAGCTTGCCAGAACCAGCAACTACCAACATGAGAGTTTGACATACCCCCTCCAAGCAGCTGCATGGATTATTGGGGATGGGGACTTACAGGCTGCCACTCACCTATCCGATGCGATGCATCCGAGTCATGGCACCAAGATGTTAGAGGGCTTATTCCTTCACCCTCTCACTTCTCTGGTCCTTCTCGCATAAACAGAGAGCAACAATACCCAAAGTCTGAAGGTGCAAACAATTCAAAGTTTATTGGGGTGAACTTCCAGCAAGCTTAAATACAAGTTCCTTTTTCCTTATTTTCGAATCCCAACTTACTTCCTGTTTGCCCCTAATTTATAAAGTAATATTCTCAGCTATACCTTAACCAATCATTTTACTGAAATTTACCTAACCAATCCTAACATGTAACATAATTCTCAAACCATTTATAATCCGACTACCTTAATTAATTTATACCTACCAAAATTAATTAGACAGCAGACAGAAACAATTAGAGAACCAGACAGATTAACAATAGAAAAGTGGGGGCCATAAAGATAAAACAATAGAGAAATGAGGGTTTCACAACCACAACCATTGAGAAGTGATTTCTTGCCAGACAGGATGCTATAAAACGAAGTTTTCGTTAACCATCTTTATCTGGTGGTGATCGGCATTATCAGGGACAGGACTGTATTCCTAACTGCCCAATACCACCTTATTTCAATGTGACTAGTTTGGAATGTGAGGATGTGACCATATGCTTCCCAGCTTATGGCTGCCTCTAGTGCTCAGCCAAAGGCTTTAGCTTAAGAACAGGGCCTCAGTCTGTTACAGTGAGAGAAGGCCCTTACACAGGCAGACAGTGATTTTGATTCTTTTATACCTCTATAACTAGCTAAATTATAAACATATACCTAAATTCTTAAAGTATAAGCCTTTACAGGGAGGCCTGCATACCTATATCCTAACAGTCCGGACTCAGCATTCATGTATCCTACAGTCTGAACTTGGAATCTGATACATTCCCTCATTGGCTACCATCATTTGCGCAGCATGGAAGTGCTTCTTGTCCAACAAGGCAGCCAGACTGGGACCCATAGGCATGGAATGGCTCTGAAGGAATCAGCTGTTTCTCTATGTGCTTCATGAACCTTTGGATCCAAATGGTAAAGGACATTGTTACCAATTTAATCATGGCATCCTTTAGGACCATGATCAATAGTACTTAACTAGGGAGCAGCGTTCTAAAACTAGTTTACCTGGGCCACAGGTCACCATAGCTTCCATTTCTGGGGTGAAAATCAACCATGCGTACCTGCAATTTCTACCTGAGTTCTTGTCAAATCATTGACCTTACTTGGAGTAATTTTACACTTCTCTGTTGTAGAATTCTTCACCAACCACACAACATATCAGTAGTGATAGTGAGGTATAACTCCCCCAAATATGCCCTTTTATTTCTTTAATCTGGTGGCACAGGTTTAAATTAGGGACTAAATTCAGGTGTGGCTTAGAATCCCTGTAAGACACCAAATGTCAGGTATCTATTAAAAATAGGTATCTTTCTGCAGCTCTATCACATTCTACATGGATTTCATTTTCTACACTTTGCAGCATTTCCCAGGGGAGAGCTGAACAGAAATGTCACTTCCATTTTCCCCATCTCTACCTAGCTAGGGATTGCATTTCCCAAATAGGCATTATGCATCTGATTAGAAAGGAGATATCTTCAGCAGCGACCTCCTCCAGGGCCTGGGTCACAACTGCTTTGGGAGCCAAATGCATGGGTATTTTGCTTATTTACAAGGGAATCCTCTACCCAGCCCTTTAGAAAAAATATTGACCGAACCAACTGAACAACAGGGGGATTGGGATGGTGAATAAGGGAATCCCTCTACCTTATCCTATCTTCTTCTGTTGTTACAGAGGGTGAAATGACAGTTTTCCCTATCCCTGCCCTGTTCCTGCTCTTTGTTATAGTTCAATATATTTTAAGTGAGGAAAATGGTGGTAAAAATATCTGCTCTCCAGCACAACCTGAAGCAACATCAGAGCAACTGGGAATGAAAGAATTTGTTCCTGAAGGGGAAACTTGATGTTTGCTTTGAAATGGGGGAACAGTAGAACCGTGATGCTCAGGGTTTGTTTAGACTCGGAAAAGTGATGGAGTTTAGGTCAGGTCAAGGGGAAAGCTAGTGCCAACCACTGCACCTGGGCTGCATCTGCACTTCAACTATAATTGTCTTTTTACACCAAGATCACTCACTTCAGCTGCCAAAACGCCATGTACAGTCCTAGTGGATGTAGGGCACAGGTAGTTTTTTGCCTCAGTGTAGCTTGTTGGGATCAAACCTCTCTCCCCCATCTGGAGCTGATGAACATTCCTGGCTGGAGGGACACACACTCTTATGTCTCAAATGGAAAGGAGTTGATAGAAAAGATCACAGGACTGACCCCAAAGAAGGGTGAGCTGCAAAAGGCAGAAGCAGGCAACTCATCTGGGGGAGCTGAGAGACCACGGTGAAGATGGCAGAAAGATCACTATATGGGAATTAACAAATGTGAATTAAAAAAAAATTTGGCCGGCCTTAGTCAAGGCATTTATTACAGTTCTCTCCCATGTGGTGTTTCTGATGTTTAATAAGCCTTGAGCTCTGATTGAAGCTTTCCCACACTCAGAGCATGCGTAGAGCATCTCTCCTGAGTGGACTTGCCTATGTCTGATAAGGTGTGAGCTCCAATTGAAGCATTTCCCACACTCAGAGCACCCATAAGGTTTCTCACCTGTGTGAATTGTCCTATGTGTGATAAGGTGTGAGCTCCGATTAAAGCGTTTCCCACACTCAGAGCATCCATAAGGTTTCTCACCCGTGTGGATTCTCTGATGTGTGATCAGGGCAGAGCTTCGATTGAAGCTTTTCCCGCACTCAGAACACGTGTAGGGTTTCTCTCCTGTGTGGATTCTACGATGTATGCTAAGGTGTGAATAACAACTAAAACTTTTCCCACACTCAGAGCACATGTAGGGTGTATCTCCTGTGTGGATTCTCTGATGTATGATAAGGTTTGAGCTCTGAGAGAAGCTTTTCCCGCACTCAGAGCACGTGTAGGGTTTCTCTCCGGTGTGGATTCTCTGATGTGTGATAAGGTGTGAGGGCCAACTAAAGCTTTTACCACACTCAGCGCATGTGTAGGGTCTCTCTCCTGTGTGGATTCTCTGATGTTTCATAAGGGCAGAACTCCCATCAAAGCTTTTCCCGCACTCATGGCATGTGTAGCATGTCTCTTCCAAGTTGATTCTCTTGCGTGTAACAAGATCTGAGTGGCTACTGAAGTTTTCCTCTGGCCTTTGCTGACTCTCACAGGCTTTTGCTTTTTCTTGGTGTGCACAATTCCAGGAATCATTCCCTTTGGATCTTCCTGATAACATTCCATGGGATTCTACTTCCTCAGCATCTTCCTGCTGGGGTGTCTCCTCGTTCTCACTCACCATCCCAATGCCTGATGGGAGACAGAGAGAATCCAGACACAGATCACTCCCTGCACTGGACAGAAGGAAATCTCAGAGAGAAGAATGGAAAAAGGGATGAACAAATCAAAATATGTGCGGGAGAGATCAAACCTATGAGGAGAGGATTTTCCCCAAACCCTTCCACATAGGAGAGAGAGGAAGGGATCAGTTCTGGGTCCGCATCTCACCAGAACTCTCATGGGAAAGCGAGACTGGGCTCCCAGTTGTCAGTCAGGGTAGGTGGGAAGCCATGAGTGACATCTGCCTAATGATTCCACATCTGCAGGGAACAATCCTGAACTTGGAGAGCTCACAAGGTCTTTGTAGTGCATCCCAAATGTTTCCTGTATTCATAGACAGTTTTTGAGTTGATTTAACCAATTCCTCACCTGTGCACGCAGCTCTCAGGAGCAGTGGAGGCCTGGGACCCATGGGTCTTTCCCTTCTTCCAGCTGCGAGATCTGATCAGGTTTGGAAACTGGAAAACCTGCTCAAAGCAAAGAAAACAAGGGAGGTTAGTGGAACTTGTGAGATACTTGTCACAAGGAATATTTCATGGTTTTAACCCGAGCTCATTTTTAAGTAAGGCCATCTTCCTTGGCCTCATTTTAAGGCCATCTTCCTTGGCTCAAAGTGTCAGGAGAATTATTGGTTTCAGAGCAGCAGCCGTGTTAGTATGTATCCGCAAAAAGAAAACGAGGACTTGTGGCACCTTAGAGACTCACAAATTTATTATTATTATAAATCATATTCATTACCTTAGTGCCTAAGGACCAACTTAACAGTCCGTTGTGCTCGGCACAGTACAAACCCACAATAGTAGATGGCCCATTCCAGGAAGAATTTACCATCTAAATAGAAAAGGCAGACACAGAATGGGGGAAGGGGTAGAACCTACCAGCAGAGTGAACTATGTGAAGGCAGAGTGACAGATCTGATGAACACAAGCATACATCTTGAGACTATTGTACTTAATTTATGACTAGGGCCAGTGTTTTCTGGAAATTACTGCTATTACTGCATTTTTTTTCCTGACATTACTCTTCATTTCTGGAATCACCCTTCATCTCCAGAATTGCTCAACAGAGGGTGGGGGCATGCAAGGTCACAACCCCCCAGATTTCTGCCTGGAGACACCTGACTCCCACCCCCCCAGGGCAGAGGGCAGAGGCTGCGGGCTGGCTGCTGTTGAGATTTGCTGCCAATTTCTTCCATCCTCATACAAGTCTAGGCTCAGCAAAACTACTGTGAAGTTTCCCCTGGGCAGGCGGGGCACTTCGCAGTGGGATGCCAGGCTCCCTAATCATACTGTGGAGCGGACGGCACTCACACCTCCTCTTGGTTGTGTCCACAGCACTTCTCCCCTGCTCATCTCCCCTGCACATATCTGGTTCATGCCCCATCTCCCCAGCACGCAGCTGGCTCTAGGCTCTCTATGCCCAGTGTCTGGGCCCCCCTTCCCCCATACAGCTGGCTCCTGCTGCCTCCCCCAAATGCACTTTCATGCTGTAAAGGATTATATATTGCTCATGTATGTCAATTACTCTGTTTTCATTGTCAGCAAACACTGGCCATAGCTAAGACTGCTGTCTCTATATTTGAGCTGGTCCTTGAAAGCATGAATACTTCACAGACTATGATGCTGAGATGGGTCAGATAATACTGGGATGGGCTCAGGGATGGGTTTCTGTTCAAGCTGGTGTCACGAAGGCGTGATGAATACCCCATCTCAAGGTTAGTTATGCAGATCTCCAGCTTTTGAAGCTTTGCCCTATGCAGAAAGGGGCAATGACGGATTTAACCTCTTTCAGGAGACTGAAGAGACAGACTGACTTTTTGGGGAGAAACAGCTGTGTTTGAGCTGACTGAGGGGGGTCTTTTTGGGCTACAAACTGACATGACCTGATAACCAAGAGGTAACCCTTTAAGAAGGGTTTAAGAAAGGTCTTAATACACTTTGGAACCGATCAGGGATTCCCAAGAGAACTGTTGAGGGGGTAATGGTAAATACGCATTTAGATGCTTTTCTTCTTTTATATCTTTTCCCCATAAAGCTTAACCTCTGGCCCACTGTCATGGATCCGTAGGATCTGTGCAATATCCTGGCCTTTAAACAGTCCTTGGGAGGTGCCCCTTGAGTGCACTAGACCCCCAAGGGGTCCCACTCTTCCATAAGGATAGACCATGTAGCTTGAACACCTGAGACTGAGGGCATGTCTACACTTACCTCTGGAGCGACCAATCCAGCGGGGGTCAATTTATCGCATCTCGTGAAGACACAATAAATCAAACACCAAATGCTCTCCAGTTGACTCCGGTACTCCACCAGCATGAGAAGTGTAGGCAGAGTCGATGGGGGAGTGGCAGCAGTTGACTTACCACAGCAAAGACACTGCGGTAAGTAGCTCTAAGTACATTGACTTCAGCTATGCTATTTTCATAGCTGAAGGTGTGTAACTCAGACCGATTTAGCTTCCCCCAGCATAGACCAGGCCAGAGCCTTTTTAAGGGGCTTACTCCTTCCCTCACTTACTTCCCTGATCCTTCTTGCATGAACAGAGAGCAACAATACCCGAAGTCCAAAGGTGCAAACAATTCGATGTTTATTGGGGTGAACTTCCAGCAAGCATGATTCCAGTTTCCCTCCTTAGTGTCGCCCTTCCCAGCTCTGACACCACAGAGCCTTATAGCTGTGTCCCTGTTCCCATTCCTGCCCTTAGCCAAACATGGACTATAAGGTGGATAGAAAGTTGGCTAGATTGTCGGGCTCAATGGGTAGTGATCAATGGCTCCATGTCTAGTTGGCAGCCGGTGTCAAGCGGAGTGCCCCAACGGTCGGTCCTCGGGCCGGTTTTGTTCAATATCTTCATTAATGATCTGGAGGGGATTGGGCCAAAAGAAATCTGAGAAGGTTCAAAAAGGACAAGTGCAGAGTCCTGCACTTAGGATGGAAGAATCCCATGCACCGCTACAGACTAGGGACCAAATGGCTAGGCAGCAGTTCTGCAGAAAAGGACCTAAGGGTTACAGTGGACGAGAAGTTGGATATGAGTCAGCAGTGTGCCCTTGTTGCCAAGAAGGCCAATGGCATTTTGGGATGTATAAGCAGGGGCATTGCCAGGAGATCGAGGGACGTGACCATTCCCCTCTATTCGACATTGGTGAGGCGTCATCTGGAGTACTGTGTCCAGTTTTGGGCCCCACACTACAAGAAGGATGTGGAAAAATTGGAAAGAGTCCAGCGGAGGGCAACAAAAATGATTAGGGGACTGGAACACATGACTTATGAGGAGAGGCTGAGAGAACTAGGATTGTTTAGTCTGCGGAAGAGAAGAATGAGGGGGGATTTGATAGCTGTTTTCAACTACCTGAAAGGGGGTCCCAAAGAGGATGGATCTAGACTGTTCTCAGTGGTAGCAGATGACAGAACAAGGAGTAATGGTCTCAAGTTGAAGTGGGGGAGGTTTAGGTTGGATATTAGGAAAAACTATTTCACTAGGAGGGTGGTGAAGCACTGGAATGGGTTACCTCGGGAGGTGGTGAAATCTCCCTCCTTAGCGGTTTTTAAGGCCCAGCTTGACAAAACCCTGGCTGGGATGATTTAGTTAGGGATTGGTCCTGCTTTGAGCAGGGGATTGGACTCGACACTTCCTGAGGTCCCTTCCAACCCTGATAGTCTATGATTCTGATTCCAATTCCCCCACACACACACACTTCCTGATTGACTGCAGACTATACAGTAAAACTTGAATTCTGCTTAGCTATACCTTAACCAATCATTTTCCTGAAATTTAACTAAGCAATCCTAACATATTGTAACATGACTATGTAACCAATTATATCCCACCACCTTAATTAGTTTACACCGAGCAAAATTAATTATACAGCAGACAGAAACAATCACAGAACTAGACAGAGATGATACAGACAAACAATAGGGAAATGGGGACTACAGTGATAGAACAAACACAGAAATGAGGATTTCACATCCCAGCTATTGATAAGTGAGTTCTTGCCAGACAGGATGCTGTCAAACCAAGTTTCCTTTTAAATCTTCTAGGCACTTCCCTTTCTCTGGAGGCGATACGCATTATCAGAACAGGATTGTATTCCTAACAGCCCAATAGCACCTTATTTCAATGTGACTAGTTTGGAATGTGGGGATGTGACCATTGGCTTCCCAGCTTATGGCTGCCTCTGCTGCTTAGCCAAAGGCCTTAGCCTAAGAACAGGGCCTCAGACTGTCACAGTAAGAGAAGGACCTTACACCGGCAGACCATGATTTTGATTCTTTCTTTTATACCTCTATAACTAGCCAAGTGATAAGAATACACCTACATTCTTAGAGTACAGGCCTTTACAGACAGGCCTGAATATCTATATCCTAACAAGCCTCTGGCTTCAACACTCCTATTTCAACCTGTGAGCTCTGCCAGCAGCTCAAGCTGAACTACACTCCTGTTCAGAGACTGTTCCTCATTCATGCTTCAATGCACCTCAGCAAGTTTCTGCTGTGACACTGGGCAGACTTTTAAAACATAGCAGGGTTTATTTGTCAACTGAAACACAGCATTGGAAATTCCTTATATTAGGACAGAGAAGCAAAGAAGACAATATAGTCCAGACTGGCCAATGCCCTTGAGCCATGCTGCTGTAGAAAACAGTTTAATTTCCTTTCACTGTGCCTGTCGAAGCAGAGCACTGGCTTTGCCTCGGGGGGTCCTGCGCTTCCAGGCGGTTAGGGTTTGCCTCAGAGGTTTGCTGTGACCCTCAATGTAGCCTCTCTCCCGCCATGAGGCGCCCTTCATCATCGGCCAGTCAATAGGTTTGGTGTAAGAACCCTCTCTAGTCCCTGCCTTCCTTCTCAGGGAGCATTTGCGCAGAGAGGGATTGGGAGGAGGTTTGGTCACACTGTGAAGCACAGAGTGACCTTATTCCAGTACAGACCTAGCCCTCTCCCACGGGGTGTAACCCTCTGAGACAGGGTGAAACCCTCCCAGTAACAGAGTCTCTCTGTTACACTTATCAAGTTTGTGGATGATACCAAGCTGGGAGGGGTTGCAAGGGCTTTGGAGGATAGGATTAAAATTCAAAATGATCAGGACAAACTGGAGAAATGGTCTGAAGTCAACAGGATGAAATTCAATACGGACAAATGCAAAGTACTCCACTTAGGAAGGAACAATCAGTTGCACACATACAAAACGGGAAATGACTGCCTAGGAAGGAGTACTGTGGAGGTCATAGTGCATCACAAGCTAAATATAAGTCAACAGTGTAACGCTGTTGCAAAAAATGCAAACATCATTCTGGGATGTACTAGCAGGAGTATTGTAAGCAAGACATGAGAAGTAATTCTTCCACTCTACTCTGTGCTGATTAAGCCTCAGCTGGAGTATTGTGTCCAGTTCTGGGTGCCATATTTCAGAAAAGATGTGGACAAATTGGCAAAAGTCCAAAGAAGAGCAACAAAAATAGTTAAAGGTCTAGAAAACATGACCTGTGAGGGAAGACTGAGAAAACTGGGTTTCTTTAGTCTGGAGAAGAGAAAACCGAGAGGGGACATGATCACAGTTTTCAAGTACATAAAAGGTTGTTACAAAGAGGAGGGAGAAAAATTGTTCTTCTTAACCTCTGAGAACAGGACAAGAAGGAATGGGCTTAAATTACAGCAACGGCAGTTTAGGTTGGACTTTAGGAAAAACTTCCTGTCAGTGGTTAGGCACTGGAATAAATTTCCTAGGGAGGTTGTGGAATCTCCATCATTGGGTATTTTTAAGAGCAGGCGGGACAAACACCTGTCAGGGATGGTCTAGATAATACTTAGTCCTGCCTTGAGTGCAGGGCACTGGACTAGATAACATCTCGAGGTCCCTTCCAGTTCTGTGATTCTATGAACCAAAGGCCAGAGAAGAGCAGAATCAAAGTCGTCACTTTGTGGGATTCTCCTTGTCATTTTCCCCAAGGCAGCTGTCTCAGGTTTATAAAGTTGTTTGATGCTCCAGCCTTTATACAGTCTCTCCTGGGAGTGCCCCCTTTCATGGGCTGGGCCTAGTTTTAGCTTTTGTCAAGGGGGCTCTGAGACTGGGCCTTCTTGCCTCAGCACATCGTGTCTCTTTCTGTGGCTCCCCAGATGCATCCGATGAAGTGAGCTGTAGCTCACGAAAGCTTATGCTCAAATAAATTGGTTAGTCTCTAAGGTACCACTAATACTCCTTTTCTTTTTGCGAATACAGACTAACACGGCTGCTACTCTGAAACTGATACAGACTGTGAACATAAGAACGGCCCACTGCATCAGACCAATGGTCCATCTAGCTCAGTGGCCAATGCCAGGTGCTTCAGAGGGAATGAACAGAACAGATAATCATCAAGTGATCCATTCCCTGTCGCCCATTCCCAGCTTCTGGCAAACAGAGGCACCATCCCTGCCCATCCTGCCTGTGACACTGGCAGATGGGGTGTTAGCTCTTGCAAAAGCCCCCATGTCTTAATTGAACATGGACAAACACAGAGCTGGAATCAGTCTGGCTCACCTGTGTTAGTATTGTTAAAACAGGTTTGAGAATTATAAGAATGTTTTTAGACTTTATTGAATGTTTGTGAGTTGCTGCCTGGGTTAATATCTGACTCGCTGCATTGTGAGCCTCTGTGGCTCTGTAAATCACCAGACAGGAGAGAGACTTTACCTATGTGAAGTGCTGATTGGCAACAAAATGCATTACACCCTGCCTGGCAGGAAAGGTCCATCAACACCAGACAGACTATTCCGGGATGTTAAAGAAGGCAAAAGACTGTTGTTGTGCTCTTGACTTTCCATTAGCTGAGTTTGCAGCTCAGAGCACATGGCAGGAAGGGGATTAAAAAACCCCATACTGAAGGAACGGATTATCTGTATGCTGCTTGGACTCTGGGGGGCAAAGTTTCGAGGCATAAGCAAGAGATCCCCAGCTGCTTAGCCTGGGTTAGTCCTAAAGAATACATAGATCTTGCTTATTATAGAAGCTTCTATTACCTTTTGAAATTTAACTCATCTGCATCTTTTTTATTACCTGCTTTAACTTTGTAAACAACTCTTGTTTCCTTTTAAATAAATAATACAGGTTATTACAGGATTGGCTACTAATCTTGAGATCTAAGATTCAATTGACTTTAAGTGCCTCGTCCTTTGGGACTGGCAGTAACCTGAATGTTGCTGTGATTCAAGGTGTAAGGCACTGGTTCTCAACCAGGGGACTGGGGACCTCTGTGGGGCCACAAGCAGGTTTCAGCAGGGTTGCCAAGGAAGGCCAGCATTAGACTCGCCGGGGCCCAGGGCAGAAAGTTGAAGTCCCAGTGCATGGGGCTGAAGTCTGGGGCACTGAGCCCTATCACCCAGAGCTGAAGCCAAAGCCTAAGCAATGTATGGGGCCCCAGGCACTTGCCCTGCTTGCGGCCCCCTAACACCAGCTCTGGCTTTTATATGCAGAAAGCCAGTTATTGTGGTCCACGGGGGCTGTGGAGTTTTTATAGCATGTTGGGGGACCCTCAGAAACAAAAAGGGTGAGAACCCCTGGTGGAAGGGACCATCTGTCACAAAGGTGAGCTCACCTGCGTGGTGAGATCTATGGGATGACTCAAGGGGACCATCTGTGATTCCATGTTAATGCTGTTACAGTGCCCGAAGCGTTTACACTTCATATTTGGTTGGTGAAATCTACATGTAGATCTCACAACCAATTTGGGGTTTGGGCCCTGCTTCTTACCAGTCTGCCTGAGGCTGGAGCTCATGCTCTCGAGTCACTGAAGACAGCGTTACAGAGACTTACAGGCACAACGCCACCTGCAGAAATGTGCAGGAATGCACAGCAGGCTTCACAGTGGCACAGTGTGGGCCAAATGGTCTCCTCGAGTGCACTTCGGCATCCCGACAATCTTCTAGGAGGGTCAAGGCTGCCACTCCTTCAGTGATGATGGATCTCCAGCATAGCATCACCCACACCCCATAAGCAGAAGGGAGCAGTACCCTCAAAGGTAGATACGCTGGAGGGGAGGGATAGGATACAGAAGGACCTAGACAAATTGGAGGATTGGGCCAAAAGAAATCTGATGAGGTTCAATAAGGATAAGTGCAGGGTCCTGCACTTAGGACGGAAGAACCCAATGCACCGCTACAGACTAGGGACCGAATGGCTAGGCAGCAGTTCTACGGACCTAGGGGTGACAGTGGACGAGAAGCTGGATATGAGTCAGCAGTGTGCCCCTGTTGCCAAGAAGGCCAATGGCATTTTGGGATGTATAAGTAGGGGCATAGCGAGCAGATCGAGGGACGTGATCGTTCCCCTCTATTCGACATTGGTGAGGCCTCATCTGGAGTACTGTGTCCAGTTTTGGGCCCCACACTTCAAGAAGGATGTGGATAAATTGGAGAGAGTCCAGCGAAGGGCAACAAAAATGATTAGGGGTCTGGAACACATGACTTATGAGGAGAGGCTGAGGGAGCTGGGATTGTTTAGCCTGCAGAAGAGAAGAATGAGGGGGGATTTGATAGCTGCTTTCGACTACCTGAAAGGGGGTTCCAAAGAGGATGGCTCTAGACTGTTCTCAATGGTAGCAGATGACAGAACGAGGAGTAATGGTCTCAAGTTGCAGTGGGGGAGGTTTAGATTGGATATTAGGAAAAACTTTTTCACTAAGAGGGTGGTGAAACACTGGAATGCGTTACCTAGGGAGGTGGTAGAATCTCCTTCCTTAGAGGTTTTTAAGGTCAGGCTTGACAAAGCCCTGGCTGGGATGATTTAACTGGGAATTGGACTAGATGACCTTCTGGGGTCCCTTCCAACCCTTATATTCTATGATTCTATGAATGGGTCGCCCCACCACACCAGGCATGGGGCTGACAGGGGGCCATTCCCTGGGCCTGGGTGCCTGTGAAGGGCTATATAAACCCCATGCTGGCATAGAGGGGGTTAAATTGCTGCTTTAGTCTGGACTGGCCCAGCCCCTCCACACCTGCAAAACATATGGGACAGAAGCTGAAAGAGCTGGGGATCCTAAAGAAAAGCACCACTGAGAACCACCTCTTCAAGGTACTTTAATTCTCTTCACCCTGGCATCCCCAAACCAGTTCTGGTCCTTATCTTCTTGCAGGAAAGACAATCTGTATGGCAATCCATGCACAAGCCCTGGCGACCTGGGTTCAGGGCTCACTTCAGTATATGGCTATCTCATGTTGTTACAGCCCCGACAGGAACATGTCCAGTAAAAATGTGAAGCAAGGGGAGGCAATGCTTGTTTCTCTCAGCAGGTAGCAGCACAGCCAGATCAGACTGCATCAGCAGTTCTCAAGAAATGTAAAGGCGATGGGGTGGGGAACAGGAGGGGGGATTAGATGCTTTCATTCCTTCTTACAATGAGATCCGTAGGTGGGGGAGGAGATTATGGTGGTGTAGTGGTAGGATGACCAGATGTCCTGTTTTTAAAGGGACAGTCCCGTATTTAAGTCTTCCTGCAGGTGTCCCGACTTTTCCTTAAAAATGGGCAAATCGTCCCGCATTTTCTGTCTTTCTTCCCCCCACCCCCCAGAGTACTGGTGGGTCCTGCTGCTGGCCAGATCTCTGCTCGCCGGCCACCCGCCCGCCCATCAGCGGTGAGTGTGGGGCGACCTAGTGGCTGATGATGGGGGTGGGCGTGCAAAGCTGGTGGCAAGGCGAAGATGCAGCATGTGGGGCAGGCCGCTCCCCCTGCTGGTCCGTCAGCGCAACCACCACTGCATGCCAGCTCTCAGCCAGCAGGGCCCTGGCCCGTTTCCAGCCGGCACTGGCTGCGCACTGTGGTGGCCGGTTTGTGCGGGCAGGTGCCAGGCGGCGGCCAGTTACATCTCACCTCTTCTGATCACCCATCAACCCTGTAAGTGCTCCCCTCTTGCTGTTCTCTCCCTGCTTTGCCCCTCTGCCCCCCCACCCCAGACCTGCTGCTCCTCCATATCCCCACTAGTGGGGCACATACAGCTCCCAATGCTGTGCAGACAACCAGCCCCTGGTCAGAGTACTCAGCTCACCAACACCAGGCCCCTTCCTCTTCAGCCCGGGGCGCTGGCCAGGAGGAGCTGAGCCCTGCACTTGCCAAAGCCCTGCACAGTGTTGGCATGGGAAGCGCCTCTGCCCCTCAGCTAAGCTCTGGAATGGGGGGCGGGGGAGAAGTGATTTCCAGCCTGTTCATGCTCTGAACCTGCAGGCTCCGCCGCAGCCCCTTAGGCAGGGGCTTAGCACCCTCTTCACTCGCCTCCTCCCACACTGCCCTGGCTCCTGACCCCAGGGAGCATGGGGCTGCTCTGTCCCCATGGCACCCTCCTCTGCTGAGCCACCTCTCTGGCCGGGTTCGCTGAACCCCCAGCAGTCAAGTTCCCAGGGCCCTGGTGCACAAGGCATGCTTAGGGCTCAACCGCTTCCTGCCTGTGCTGGAGCCGGGGTGGGGAGGACAGGAGGCCGCTGGGTTATGTCGGTGCGGTGGCCAGCAGCAGCCTGGAGGCGTTAACTGCCTTTCCGCACTGTGTGGGCGGGAGGGGACAAGCTGCTTCCAGACACAGACAGGTGCGGGGAAGAGTTGAGCTCTGCAAACTCGGCACAGACCAGGTCATCCTCTGCAGCTGGGAGCAGCTCCTGTCCCTTCCCTCCCGCAGTGTGCCAAAAGGCTGCTGCTGGCCACATTTTGCTGTGAGCCTTGGCAGAAATCTGGGGAAGGTAGGGTATGTGACCCTGCGTGTCCCCTCACTTGTTGCCTTGGGAAGATGTGGTGCCGGGTACCAGGAGAGGCGGGTCAGTCCCAGGGGCCCAGCCAGGCATGGAGGGTGGAGAGCCCTGGTCAGGGAGGGTGGGGTTGGTCGGTCACCCCCCACATGAGGAAGTTATACGGGAGTGGGGGGGGAAGAGTGTCACCCCTCCCTGTGTGAACCCTAAAGCCTCAAAGATAAGAAGGTAAATAAAAAGAATCCAATTACGCAGAATTTTTTTTAACGGGGGCTCAGTCAGCTTGATGTTAATTTGAACGTTTGTACTGCATAGTTCTGATTGATAGCCACCGAACTCGCTTGAATATGAGTAATTTTACTAGGTGTCCGGTATTCAGCATAGGTCAATATGGGCACCCAATGCAGTGGGATTAAGCATTGTAGGGAGGGATGAAGTGAAACCTGTACAGCATTCTAAGCCTAGTTCTTAGAGAACATTTTATCCACATCACAAAAGCACTGCACGGTTTGCTGCAAATTGCTGGCCCTGTTGATGAGAGGGGTCCAGGCCTGGAGTATTCAAGGGATGCAGGTCAGAGCAGAACTATATTGGCAGAGCTGTTTGAGGAGGCCTAAGACTGAAGTATGTGGTGTGTGCAGGCCAGGAGTGAAGAGATTTGGCTACTCTATTGATCCAGCTGGGAAGCTGTCTGCTGTAGGCTTGGCTCAAGCCAGCGATCATCATTTGTTTCCATGAGCACCCAGTTCCCCCGCAGGCTAACATGAAATGGAGGAAAGCCCCCAGTGATCCATTGGGCATGAGACTGATGAGCACAGTCCTTATGACACGCACAAGCCATCCTGTTCCTATACATCCCACCCTTCCTCTCTTTTCTTCATAACAACAGTCTTCAGGTATGTAAAACGTTGTTATAAAGAAGAGGGTGATAAATTCTTCTTTAACCACTGAGGAGAGGACAGGACAGAAAGACCTTCAATTGAAGCAGGGGAGATTCAGGTTCGACATTAAAAAAACCTTCCTATCTGTAAGGATATCTAAGCACTGGAACAAATTACGAAGGGAGGTTGTGAAATCTCTGTCACTGGAGGTTTTTAAGAACAGGTTAGACCAGGGGTCGGCAACCTATGGCATGCATGCCAATTTTTGACGGCACGCTGCTGTCTGCCGGACTCCGGCGGACAGCAGCATGCCATTAAAAGCCCGGCCCGGCCCGCTCTTCCCCGCCCCCCCATGCACCGCTCTCTCCTTGCAGGGCAGGCAAGCTTCCCCCTCCCCCAGCCTTTTCCCCCAGCATGCTGGGTTCCTGCCCCTCCTCCTCTCCCTCCCTGCCATGGCCCTTGCACACGCGCTCTGCTCCAGGGAGCTTGCGGAAGGGGGTGGAATTGGCATATCCCCTCCAGTCCCTGTCGTGAGCTGCTCAGGGTAGGGGGCTCGGAGCACCCCCACAACCCCAGCCCACACCCCCTTCCCTGAACCCTCCTCACACATCCCCAGCCCCCTGCCCTGAACCCTCCACACCCCCCAGCACTCTGCTCTCACCCCAGCCCCCCGCCCTGAACCCTCCACACCCGCCAGCACTCTGCTCTCACCCCAGCATCTCAACACACCCCCAGCCCTCTGCCCTGAACCCTCCTCACACACCCCCAGCCCCCTGCCCTGAACCCTCCACACCCCCCAGCCCTCTGCCCTCACCCCAGCACCTCAACACACCCCCAGCCCTCGGCCCTAACCCCTGAACCCTCCTCACACACCCCCAGCCCCCTGCCCTGAACTCTCCACACCCCCCAGCACTTTGCCCTGACCCCTGCACCCCCTCACACACTCCCAGCCCCGTGCTCTGACCCCTGTCCCACCCCCCCAACCCCAGCCCTGACTTTGGCACCCCCCACACATACCCAGCCCCCTGCCCTGACTCCTGCACACTCCTCACACACCCCAGCCCCCTGCCCTGACTCCTGCACCCCCACACATACCCAGTCCCCCCACACACCATGCCCTGACTCTTGCACCCTCCACATCCCCACCCCACCCCTCGCACCAAATGGGAGCTCCTGCACCCCCCCCCCGCCCACACACACATTCCCACCTGCACCCCTCGCACCAAATGGGAGCTGTCCAGGTAAGCACTCCACACCCAAACCTCCTGCCCCAACCCTGAGCCCCCTCCCTCATTCTAACTCCTGGCCAGACCCTACACCCCAACCCCCAGCAGCCTGATCCTTCACCCCCAGCCCTATTCTCAGCATACTCCCACCCTCAGCTCAGTGCAGAGAGAGGAGAATGGCTAGAACCAGGGAGAAGGTAGGTACCCACTCTATGTGGACAGGGCCGGGACCCCGGGCCGGCGGCGAGCTGGGAGGGGCTGACAGCCGGGGCCCTGGCCGGCAGGGGACGGAGGACGGAGCCCCGAACCGACAGTGGGCTGGGTCGCAGCAGGCTGGGCCTCTCGGCCCGCTGCTGGTCTGGGGTCCCGGCCTCTGACCCCGCTCAGCCCGCTGCCGGTCTGGGATTCTGGCTGCCAGCCCCTTGCCGGATGGGGTCCTGGCTGCGGGCCCCGCTCAGCCCGCTGCCGGCCTGGGTGAACGGAACCCTGGGCCAGCAGCGGGCTGGCGGTGTAAGATCAGCATTTTAATTTAATTTTAAATGAAGCTTCTTAAACGTTTTGAAAACCCTTGTTACGTGTGACAATAGTTTAGTTATATAAAATATAGACTTAGAGAGAGAGAGTCTAAAAAACGTTAAAATGTATTTTTGGCACGCGAAACCTTAAATTAAAGTGAATAAATGAAGACTCGGCACACCACTTCTGAAAGGTTGCCAACCCCTGGGTTAGACAAACACCTGTCAGGGATGGCCTATAATAGAAAATACTTAGTCCTGCCTCAGTGCCGGGGACTGGACTAGATGACCTATTGAGGTCCCTTCCAGTCCTACATTTCTATGATTCTATGATTCTGTCAGGACTGGAGCAGGAGTTAACAGGAGAGACCTACTCTACTCCAAGGGGGGAAACACGGGGAAGGGAACAGTTTGTGGAGCATCTCCAGCCCCAAGGTGAGGGCTGGCAGCATTCAGGGCTCTGGCCTTCACTGAGGGAGGGTGGG